TACTCCATAAAGGATGAAATAAAATGGATTTTTATGAGTCAAAGAGGTTTCTTGTTGTTTTTTTGTGTTTGTTTTTTTTTTTTTTTTTTAGTTTTTCTCACAGCTTCTTCTGGCCCATTTTTTGGGGGTCCCTGTAAGGCCTAGGCTGAGGTGACCTCATGTGAGGAGCCAGGTCCATGAGAGCTGAGTGGCCCATGCTGTGGAAGGACAGAGATAAAGGAACAGTGGTTTGCTCATTAACCCTCTGATTGCCAACTGAACCCACTGGTAAAAACTCCCACATCACAACCTAATAGCTGTATCCTGAATTTGGATTTTACCACCACGTGTCTGAGCTGTCTCGCTGGGGTTCGGTAGATTTAGGAGGCAAACAGCTCTATCCAAAATATTCTCCAGAGCCACCCCTGTTACTCTGCCAAGAAGCTGGAGCACAACCCCAGCTCTGCTGCAGCATCTGCCAGGTCAGGCTGGTGCAGCAGCTCAGCAATCCCTGCTGGAAAAGGTTTGCCCAGACCATTGGTGGCTTCTCCTCAGAATTTTCAGGCTTACCCAGCATTTGCAACTACACAAGAATTAGAATTATAGAATCACAGGGTTGGAAGGGACCCACAAGGATCATCCTTGTCCAACTCCTGGCCCTGCACAGACACCCCAACAATCCCACCCTGTCCCTGAGAGCCTTGTCCAAACACTCCTGGAGCTCTGGCAGCCTTGGGGCTGTGCCCACTGCCCTGGGCAGCCTGTTCAGTGCCAACCACCCTCTGGGGGAGGAACCTTTTCTAATATCCAGCCTAAATTCTCCCATGTAAAATCCTCACAGCAGCTGGAACTGGGTGGACAAGGCAGGAGACCAACAGTGTTCCCACCACACCTCCCAGTGCTCACCCCCCAGAGTCACTGGTGTGGTGGGTGTGGAGGTTTGGGGTTCAGTACATCCATCCACAGTCACAGGACAGCCTCCCTGATGCTTCAGAAGGGTTTTCTGGGCTCTCTACTTCACCTTCACATTAAACCCTCTTTTTTTCTACCTCAGCAAATAAAAAAAAGATACTTGATTTATTATAGTAGAGAGAGAGAACTCGATTGATTTTAAATTATTACACGATGAGGAATCTGAGAAAGTATAAACTGGAAAAGGCATTTCGTGCCGCCCTGAATTATTGTAGATCCTTCAATGCTTTCTCTTTTCCCATGGGATCAAAATCAGGTGGGTTTTTTGTGGGTTTTTTTTTGGATTTTACTGTTAGTAAAAACCTTCTCACACAATCTGAAGGTTTTTTGCAACCCCTAATTAATACCGGACCATCAGGATTAGGGTTAAATGAGGAGCAACCTGGAGGATGCAGAACTGAGCTGCTCAGAACATTCCACCTGCTGCAGTGGTCACCGAAGTGCTGGAAATGTTTTTGGCAGCAGCTTCCCGAGGCCCCTCGGTGTCTGTTCACGATGCAGCAGCACCACCCCATGGCTGCTGCATCCCAAACACCCAACCTGAACCACTGAGGGGCCACAAAAGTCTGACTTCAGCCCGTTTGGGGATTAAATATTTCCCACGTTGGGTGGGAATTTGGATCTAGGGACTCCCAGCAATATTGTTTTGAGGGATAGAAGGATGGAAAAGAAAAGAAAAGGAAATAAAGAAAGGAAAGGGACATTTTTGTTGTTGTAACATCTGCATTTTTAGTATACAAAGCACCATGGATTTTGGCACAGTGTTTTTGTAAGAAGTGTGGGCCTTTCTTATTTCAGAACCTTCCCCCTTATCTAAAAATATCCAAAAGAAAAGGAAAAAAATCATCAGAAAAAAAAAGCTCCCTCATCGATTTTTCTTATTGTTCCTGGAGTTTGATCAAATTTCCTGATAATCAGATGTTTAACAATCCAGTGCAATCAACCATCTTCTGAAAACCACTTTCCATTCGCAAAAACACGGGACTGATAATGAAATAGAGATTTAAACTTGCAGTTCTTCTCTGGGCTTTGCTGCATCCATTCCTCTGCTGGGAAGCAAACTGTTATCAACATTACATTGCAAAATATTACCAGGAAATGATTAATTACTTTTATTCTTCTCATTTCAGGTTGGGAGGTGGATAATTTGGGGCAAACCCACGCAGGTAAGAACCAGCTGTGCTGCCTACCTTTTAGGCACCTCTGTCCTCAAAAACTGTGGAAATATCAGATTATTGGCAAGTTGCTTTTGTGTTATGACATTTAGTTCTTTGTAACTCTCAGATAAAAAGTGAAATTAGAAATCACATAAGTGTTTGTAAATCAATGTGATTTAACCCAAACCCACTAAATTAAATTATCTTACTAAAACCAACTAGTTACTGCTTTTTGTCATTGATGGATGAAAACAATTTTTCACTAACTCTCTGAAAACTGACCAAATTTAAATACCTATGGTTTATAAATCTAAATTCCTAAAGATACAGTATTTAACTTCTATATATATAATTTAACAATCAATTTTTTTCCTGGTTTGATTATCTGTGTTTTTAGCTCTGTGCTCACTGTTTGCAGTAGCAATCTTCTAATTTTAGAGGTTCAACTTTGATTTAAACTCACAAGTAAAACCGTGTTTACTTCCTGAGAAGACAGAATCAAGGATTTATTGCCTTTGGGCCTCATCTAAACCAATAAAAATCAATTGCATCCTATTCACTGATTTCCACAGAGACCAGTTTGGGTCCTAATAGAAAACACAAGCAAAACAATTTCATACCAAATTTCCACTTTTCCAGGTGATTATGACCTGCTGGAAAGCACAGCCCAGTCTCCCCTAGGTAAGAAAGAAAACTAGATATTTTTATATTTTTTTTTCTCCTTTTATTTATCTCTGTTAAAAAGGAAGCTCAGAGATTTTTTTTATTCCTGCTATTTTGGTATTATTTTTCTAATCAGTGCTAATTATCATGACATATTTTCTGCCGTGTTACTTTTAGCAGTATTATGAAAATTTATTCCTCCACTGCTGAGCCCTGCAATCGAGGGAAGTGTGTTGCTGTAAATGAGATCTACCTGCTTAACAGTAATTACTAAATGGTGCTAAAGACAGTCAACACCACGATTCAGTTGTTATTTCCCACAGAAAAACTAGGGATGAATGTGCAGGAGTCACTTACCCAAATTTGCCAAGCGTTGCAATGTTTTCCAATGAATGCCCTGATTAAAGAGATAAATTCTGCTGCATGGATGGCAAACCCAGCCTCTAAAAATAAGGCCATGCATGAGCTGCTTGACTAAACTGCCCTAAGAATTCAAAGCAGCACAACCTTCACAACAAAAAGTAAGCCCAAACCTTGGAAATTTCCGTCAGTTTTGGTCAAGGTACAGCTGAAACTCCCAAAAACTGCAGTAAATGGAAGTTGCTCTGTTGTGCTGGGGAGGAAGAAGTGCAGTCAGAAGCCCAGCCCTATATTTTTTTAGCCAGGGCACTGAGTTCTGGCAAGATAATTATACTCCAAAAGAGCATCACAGGGGCTGTCCCAGCTCAGGCAGCCTCGTAGCAAAGTGAGTGTCAAGAGATTCCTTCCTCTTCTACCCCCAGCTCTTGTTTTGCAGTGCAGTTTTAAGCCTCAGTGTGTCAGTGAAAGCCAGGCAGGGTCTAGTCTTTATAGGAGATCAGGCAAAAAAACTGGGTATTTAAGCAAATATTTGCTTAAAATCGAGCTTACAGACCAGAATTGGAATAATTAATAGACAGAGGAGTGTGAGAACATCTGAACCAGGTTTTAAATTGCCAACTAACAATTTACACCCTCTGTAAATGAACATATAGCCATGAAGAGAGAGACTGGAGTTTATGTTGGAGCCCTGGACTTACCCATTGGCCACTTGAACTGTGGATGTCCAGAGCAAAGCTGCATTCCCGAGATACCTTTCAGGATCAGTGGAGAGAACTGCACATTTAGCTGCCCCTTGATTTAGGTACCCACTTGAGAATGAGCTTTTTGGAGGCCTGCAGCCACTGAATACTCTGATTACATATTTCCTGCTCTCTGGTGACCAACTGTAGTCATTGCCAACCCCGGGTAACTGGATCATCAGAGACACCATTAAATGTCAAGATTAAAATCGTTGAATGGATGCTCAGATAAACAGCCCTTCCAGCAGAGCTGTGGGGTTTCCTTTTCAAGGGGAGGGAGGGAGGGAGGGCACACCCTGGGGTCTGCTCCCACAGTGTCCCATTCCCACTTTGGCACAGGGGACATCAGCAGGAACTGCACAGAGGACGGCTGGTCGGAACCTTTCCCTCATTATTACGATGCCTGCGGCTTTGATGAAAACGAGACAGAGTCCGATAACCAGGTGGGAATTACTCCTGGAATTAAAAACAAATGAAGGGGGGGATGGGGGAGCAGCAGCAGCAGCACTGCTTTTTGCCCAGCCTCTGGTCATGTTATGATTTGATAGTGATAAAAATAAGCAATCGGATATTTAAATGTGAGGTTTAAA